TACACTTACTGGAATCTCTTTAAATGTGCTTTGCTAGTACCTGTTTTGATTTCAGATCTGTGTTCATTCCTCACGGCATAATTTCAACAAAGTGCTGGATAAATTCTTCAGAGATTTTTGTCCATATTCACACGACAGCATCACAGAGTTCCTCATCACAAAGGTGCTCTATTAGATTGGGATCTGGTGATTGTGGAGCCCATTTGGGTTCAGTGAACTGAATGTCCAAAAAAACAGTTTGGAGCTTTGGGCTTTGGGTAAATACGCAGGTAGGCTGTGGCAATTAAATGATGCCTACCTGGTACTGACGAGTCCACAGTCTGTAAAGAAAATATTCTCTACTCCATTGCACCACGAGCGTCATAAATCATTGATACAACGTAGGATGGATCCCTGCTTTTATGTTGTACACACCGGTTTCACACCCTACCATCTAAATGTTGCAGCAGAAGTCAAGATTTATCAAAGCAGGCAGTGTTTTCTAATCTTCTGTTGTCCAATTTTCGAGAATTATAACCTCAGTTTCCTGTTATTAGCTGACAGGAGGCATCCAGTGTGGTCTTCTGCTTTGACATTTGCATGTAGAGATGCTCTTCTGCAGACTCACTTGTTACAAGTGATTATTTACTATAAGTGGTTGCCTCCCTGTCAGTTTAAAGCAGTTTGGCCATTCTCCTCGGACCTCTGGTAGATGGTAGAGGATTTCACCCAGGGAACTTCCCGTCACTGGATAATTTCTCTTTTTCTTTTCGTTCTCTGTAAACCCAAGAGATGGTTGTGTGTAAAAAAAATCCTGGAAGATTGGCAGTTTCTGAAATTCCCCCCCTGCTCTGATGCTCAGTTTGAACTTGAACAGGTCATTTTGACCATGTCTACATGCCGAAATGGGCTGTATGTGATTAGATGTTCAATTCAGTTCAATTCAGTTTTATTTATACAGCTTAAAATCACAACAACAGTTGCCTCAATGCACTTTATATTATAAGGTAGACCCTACAATAATACATACAGTGAAAAACCCAATGATTTGACCACCTATGAGCAAGCACTTTGTCAACAGTGGGAAGGAAAACCTCCCTTTTAACAGGAAGAAACCTCCAGCAGAATCAAGCTCAGGGAGGGGCGGGGCCATCTGATGCCAGTCGTTGCTCTGAGTTTGATATGGCCGGGGGCACCAGTACAGCATTAAAGTGAAGTGCAGATAAGCCTAATTTTCAAAATCCGAGACCATGCTTTCAAAGGCTACATGAAGATCACTTGAAAAAAACATTCCCCTTTTCAACCCAAAATATTTAAATTTAATTTGAAAGCCCAGTTAGGAATGTTTTATCTTATCCCCGTAATACTTTCAATCATAGTCTTGCACAAAGATTAACTACTTAATGAGAAAAAACAGCAGACATGCAAGCAGGGCCACTATAAAGACAAAAGCACGAAGGTATTATTACAGTGATCTGCACTGTATTGACCTACTTACAGCTCTGCAGAAACACCAGCCCTACCGGAGGCTCAGAGACTCATCAGTCACAATGCAAGGAGAAACTCGCAGTCCCCTCAGATGTTACATCACGTTGCATTTTAAGGACAAATCTCAAACTGTTCACACATAAGCCATGATTACAACTAGCATGTGTCAGAGTGATAACGGAAATATGATGGATGTATGTTGGTCGATTATCCATTAATAACGCTAAGAATAATAAATTCTCTGCTTTATTTATCAGAGAAGGTGATATTATATTAGATTGTTACTTTCCTGGTGTGTTTTTAAGGCTGTCAGTGCTTCTCTGTGTCTCTGCACCTCTTCTGTATCATCCTTACAAATTCAAGTTATTGTGCATTCAGACAACACCAATCCCATAATTGCATCAACATTCCACCCTCATGCTGTGTACAATTTCTCTTTCAGTCAAAAAGTAATTCCAGTAGCAGCTACTGCTCTTCGGCATTTCTTTTGATCAGTGTTAATGCTTCATGCGCCGACCCTCCAGCCTGCCAGATGCTCAGTTTGCTCAGAACAGCAGAGCAGTGAGCATGGTGGGACTCTGTTCTTGGTTGCTCTGTGATGGATTTAATGGTGGGACAACTGCCATATTGCTGAATTTATTGTTTTAATAAATTTCAATACAGATCTAAATTTAAGTAGATGCAGGGCCTTTCCTGGCTAGGAGAGGGGCTTGAGGGGAAGCTACAACTGTCAGCACAATTAGTCTAAAAGTAAGGGTTTGTTTTTCCAGGAAAACCCCTGTGATTGATTGGGTCGTTTTGTTTATTAACTGGAAATGAAGATGCATACCAAATCCAATCAAAATGTTTCCCATTTTTTCAGATAATTAATTGTGATTTAAAGGTACAG